TTTTTTTTTTGTAGAATAGCACCATGGCATTGATTCTGCAATGTCGCGGTGCTATCCTACCTCAAATTGGTTTAACACTAAGGCACTGCTTGTTAGGCCCACGATGCCAGCCGTGTTGCCTTTTGGTCGCCATGTCAGCATCGCGACCCAAGCATACCCTGTGGCTGACCATCCAAAGTCAAAGTACTAGCCCCCAGTGTCGTGGTTCTAGACCTCAAGCCCTTGAGGCCAGGTATTGTGATTATATTGATAGTCGTTACATTGCACCTTGTGTCTAGTGCAATGACGCCGCACTATAGCATTGCGACGTCATGACTAACTGGGATAAGTTTCCGACCTATCGGTACCTGAACTGTTAGTTATTATTTCATTTGAAGTGTTTCATTATATGTTATATGCTGACTTCACACTTATTTTTCTTATTCTTTGTCTGTGTTCTCATTTTATGTTCGTGCTCTTTAGAATAAAGCAGTTTCTATAAAAAAAATTCTAATAAAAATTATCTTAACAAAATTTAGGATTAAAATTATATCAATTTTAAAATATGCACCTTTATTTTCTAGCGTATCTCTTTGGACCAGGTTTAAATAGTTGCATTTGAATGGATATTACCCAAATCATTTAATAGGATTTTGATACACAAAAATAATATTCTGTCTTAAGTACCATTTTTATGTCTATTTTTGATGATATTGCACTTTAAAAAAATATATTTTTGTGTATTTGTTGCATGTATACCATTTTAAGGCATTTGAAGCAAAAATGGCAAAATGAGCAAAATTTGGAGCAAAAACAGCAAATTTCGGGGATCGGCGCATGATGCGCCAAAATCTATAGCGTTGGTACCTGAGCACCAGGTGTAAATTTTTCAAATTAAGGAGGTTCGAGAAGAATTTTGTGCGAATTTTCAAAGGGACACTTGTTTTAAACACCCCATGGAGTGATTCAATGCATCTAGACACTTTGAAAGGTTCTAATTTGAAGGGATTTGACTCTTAGATCAAAGAGACACATCTTTTGAATTCAAAGGTTTGACTTTTGAATTTTGAAGGGTAATTGAAACTCTTTTCAGAGGTGGCAACCTAAAATAAAATAGAGTGGGAGAACTTCTAAAAGTGGGGGGCGAAAAAAGAAAAAGAAGAAAAACAGAGGTGGCGTGAGAACCAAGAGGGAGAGATAGAGAGAAAGTCAAGAGCTTGGAGATTGTTTTCTAAGGTTCTAAGAGGAAAGGGGGGGTGAGAGATTTTTTCTTCATTACACTTCTAAGTGAGTTGAGAGTGTTTGTACAAAAAGAAAGGCTTGGAGAGAACTTCTAGGGATTTGTTTGGGAAGGATTGTGAGATGAGTTGTATTTTTCATTTTTTTGTTTGTAAACTTGTTTTTTATACTTATATATGAAGTTCATGTTCGTATTATTCTCATGAATTCTGAGAAGTATTCTTTATCCTTCCCCCTACTTTGAAGAAGTGGTTTTATGAAAAATTGATTTTGTTTTCTATAGTTTTAAATGTCAATAATTTGTGATGATTTGAACCCCGATCTTCATTTACTTTTCGATCTAACCAATTGAATTGTTAAAATGTGTTGAAAAACATATGTTCTAAAAAGGGGATATGATTTCTATAACAAAGGGATAATCAAATTTGATTTCATGGGACAGTATGTCATCTCTGGGATTAGGTGCAAATAAATAAATATAATTTGTTGGATGTTGAAATTGAAAGATTTTAAGATGACGGATTAAAATCTCCAATTTTGTTCAGTTGATTGGAAACTAATGCGAGCATGTTAGCCCTCAGGAGAGGGAGTAGTAGGAGCTCTAGAATGACAGTCGGTATCCTCCCAGCCTAACCACGGAATTAGAGACTAAACTATGGATTAGTCAATGTTCTCTATAGCGCTCGGAATAGGGTAGAAAATATTATTGCTCATATTTGGCACAAAACAGTTTTTAAATATATTTTTTAAATGATTTAAATTTATTCACAAGCCATGTTTTTATTGTAAAGGGGAATGGTGTTTTCTCATACTTGAATTTTTCGTCAACAATTTTTCGTCAACAAAAATTTTCGTCAACAAAAACCTTTGTTTTATTTCAGCAATTTTATTTTTGAAAGTTCGATATCTAGTTCAACTTAATTGTTGTAATCGTACATATGCATATTTAGTAGCATTTCACTTGAGTAGTTTAACTTCAAACTTCGCAGTTTATTTTATTTTTATTTTTATTTTAATTTAAGAATAGAATATAAATAGCTAGCTTATATATATTTCCAACTTTCTTATGGAATCGATATCTAGGACTTCATTATATGTATTACTTGAACGATACATATACTTGCGTTATATGTAAAACGGAATTAGAAGTTTAAAATAGGTTTTAAAGATAAATTATTTTCATTAAAGTTACATTATTGTTTGGGTTACATTGCATATTTATTATTAATTTAATCTTAAATTTCCGCGCACCAGGTCTTCATAATTAGAATAGATGATATTGCATTCATATTATATATCCCGAGAGGAAGTCATCTTTGCTACTACAATTTGATTAGCTAAGCATATTTTTCTGCTTAGTTGGTTATCTAACACAATTACGATGTTTGAGGCATTCCCAACCCAAACGGGTTTATAAGTCCTTTGTGGGGTGACTTAAATTTGTAGCTGAGTCATATGTTTCTTTCCCCTCTGTAGGCATCCTCGACATCTTCTTGACAGATATAAGCCGTATTTCAACATTTTTTGTCCGAATTATGGGAGCTTAGACGTCACTTTCTCATGGCTCTAGGTACATTGAATTACTTCAAATGATGCAACACGGGGGTTGCTGACGAGTAGTTCATTGACATGTTGGATCAACTACCTTCACAATTTGGTAGACTTAGTGTCATAATAGCCTGGAACGATAGATCCATGGAGTCTTAATTAAGCTATCTCTACCCTTCTAGGAATTCCTTACCTACTTTTGACACCTCTTTTGGGCCCTTTGTACTTTTTGTTGAATCTTTCGTAGTTGTTCCATGGGTTATAAGTCCTTTGTGGGGTGACTCAAATTTGTAGCTGAGTCATATGTTTTTTTCCCCTTTGTAGGCATCCTCGACACCTTCTTAATAGCTAAGCCCTATTTCCACATTTTTTGTCCGAGTTATGGGAGCTTAGACGTCACTTTCTCATGGCTCTAGGTATATTGAATTACTTCAGATGATGCAGCACGAGGATTGATGACGAGTAGTTCATTGACATGTTGGATTAACTATCTTCATAACTTGATAGACTTAAGGTCATAATAGCATGGGACGATAGATCTATGGAGTCCTGATTAAGCTATCTCTACCCATTTAGGAATTCCTTACCTACTTTTGACACCTCTTGTGGGCCCTTTGTACTCCTTGTTGAGTCTTTTGTAGTCATTCCATGGGTCATCTTTTGTTAAGAGGTGGCTACTTTTCGAATTACGGTGATTTACCTTCTACTTAATAGCCTAGACTTGCTTTGACAATAGGAGGTTTCCCCTACATGAATGATGAAACCCTCTGTGGTACTTAATTGTCAATAAACTTTTTAAGAGCAAGCATAACTCTTGTAACGAAATTCTTCATGGATATCCCCTAAGATATAACTGACCACAGTGATACGTCATCGTAGGAGGTCTCATTGAACACACAATAAAAAATAAATTTGATTTTGCTCTAGTTTTGAATGTGATGATTCTTGTAAATCTTTTCTCAGAATAAATAAAGGTTGATTCACTTTAGACCGTTCTTCTCTAGTTTATGTTACGAAGATTGTTTTACAAGATGTGTTATATTCATCCTTTTATGTTTTTCATTTTATTTGCCTATTTTAGTTATTTTCTTCTCTAGCTCAACCCCCAGGCAGCTTGAAGAACGAGATCAAAAAAAGGCAAACATGAGAAAATCCCAACAAAAGAGGAGCAACAACTTACTTATTTTGATCATAGACATTCCTTCTTTGGTAATTTTGATGCTTCAAATATGCTTGTGCAATCCAATTTGCAATCGGACATCGTTAAAAATATTTTGATGATCTTCGAGACGTTTGACTCGATTTGTGCAAGTCATATTCAATTCCTATCATTGTCATCATACTGGCTCATTTTGTTCATAGAACGTCCTTAGGTATTTTTGATACTTCAAATGCTTTCATGGAGTCCAAATTGCGTTTGAACATCATTAGGTAGCTTCAACAGCAATCTAAGTGATTTGGACTCAACTCGAGCATCATTATGTTTGCCCATCATATTTGTTGGGTGACCTCCCTTAGGCACTTTAGCCGCCATCCATTGTCATTGATGGTTCTATCGTTTTCCTAAACTTAGCACATATGAAGGTCAACAAAAGATTAATTTAAAGAGTGAAAGTTTTAGTATAATACATTTACAACATCTCCCTAAGTAATTTGTGCCCAAAAATTGTCCAACATATGTCTTTAGAGCATTGGAATTTATTTCACAAATTGAAAAATAAGATGTCATATGGTGTGCAACATGATATTTTGAAGAATACTGGTGAAGAAGTGCCAAGGGATTTCTTTGATGTAGCTATTAAATTTAGCTTTTCAGATAGCTGTCATAGTTTTGTTTGGCTACAACTTTTTTGTTGCTTTCAGAAATTATTGATAAAAAATAGCTTGTTCACAATCAAATCCGTTAGTGGGGCTATCATAAGAAAGTTGATTTATATATTTTTTTCAAAATGAGAAAAAGCTAGATTACTTGCAACTTATTAAATATTTTTTTTTCTCATATTGGTTCTACAATTACTATACATACATCACAATTGTCCAAATAGAACCTGACAATCCAATACCATACGACAACCCTTTTAGAAGTTTTAATGCATCATAGCTCTCATTTCGCCTGAGAAATAAAATCATCGAACATGCGTAACGTAATACAAGTGCCAAATAACCACACGACAAAAAAGAAAAAAACAAGTCAGTTTGAAACAAGAGTTCTATCAGGATAAAGCTAATCTTACCAAAATGATGAACAAAATCACATTGAAGATTGCAACCACTCTCCATTCTGTTTTCATGTACTGTGCAACGCCAGCCCTAACATGAAGGCAAAAAAATATACATATTATATTTCAAGGAGAATGTGAAGCAGATTTAAAAATATAGGTAGTTGATAAACTTGCTTGCAAGAATCACAATCATAGCACTTCACATTACGAGCATTCTTATAAAGCTGGCAATCTTTGCTGGTGCTTGTGGGATGATAGCTTAAATCATAGTATGAAGCATTTATTGCAGGGTACCCACACCTGACCAAACAGCAACAGATGCATGAAAAAGGATAAACTAGTTACTATATTCAGTCCATATTAAAAGAATCTGGGGACAAAATTGATACTTTTATAAACTTTGAAACAAAAATGATCTCCTCTAAAGAGTCAAAGGACTATTTTTTACAATTTTTATTCCAGAAAGTTATGTTCCAATTGAAAGTGCCATTCTCATTGATTAAAATGATCAGATATTGCATGGGAGCCAAGTAAAGACAATGAATCCCCGAAACCAACCCAAACTCCCACTACTACACTGCCCAATACTAAACCACCCTCATCTGAGAGCCCCACTCACCTAAATCCTTTTCCAATTTATCTTCTTGTTTGCACCAACTCGAGTACAAAATCCACATTCAAGCATTTCCTTCCCCAATTTATTATGAAGTGTTTTATACTGTATATTGCACTAGAAAAATTAGGGGAAAAAATGCGCTATATTTGTTTATTTCATTGTTCGTCCTCTCGTCGATTACAGTCGTCACCAATCTCGCTCATAGTGATGAAATAAAAATGGGTGTCAGAAAGAAATTAAAAAAAAGATCATTTGAGGAAGCTCAAGTGCCTGTTATTGGGAATTAAGAACCATTCAGGGAAATTGCAAATTCATATGAAAATTTTTCTATAAAATTCAAGAGATTCAAAATACTCGTATTGGGAAACGTGAGATGTCAAAGAATTAAATACCGTTCATGGAAAATAAAGTACCTATTTGAGAAAATGTTTGTGTGTCATTTATCTTTTATGCAGTTACATTGAAGGCCTACAGCGTCTTTTAAATTTGTGGATTAAAATACATATTTTTGTTCCCCGGTCGAGTGTCTCACGGCACTGACTAGTGAGTCTTTTAAGAAAGTTGGGAAGATTGACATTCTCCCCATGCCCCCTCACAAAAACTAACGTCGGGAGGCTGCCAAGTTTTCATGTGATTTGGACTTGCAAATAACTTAAAGATTTTACACCATTCAAATTAATAAAATAATTTAAAATATGAATAATTTGAGCTTAAAAAATTAGGCTCTAATGGTGTGAAAATAATTTAAGTTCGAGCTATTAAGTTTAGGCTCTTAGGCTTGAAAATAGTCTGTATTTGAGCTTTTAACTAAGGCTCTTTGGTTTTGAAAATCAATGCAAAATTTGGGTTTTTAACTTAAACTCCTAGAACTTAAACTTAAAAAAAAATATATATATATGAAATAAGGGCAAAGGATACGAAAAAAATTTGACTTAAATTAGAAATGTTATAGATTTGAGCTAAGTTCATGTAATGGTAAATTGACTTAAAGATGAAATGTCATAAATTGGGGGCTAAGTTTGCATTTTTAAATGCTAAAATAAAGACTCAATACGGCAAATTCGCCACCGGATTCACAAAACAGTCTGCTAACAAATAAAATATGATTTATTTAAAGCCCATATTGAAATTATTAGCCCAAAATCCTAATATTTGTTGCAGATATTCTAAGCACTGAATGAACTCAAAAAATATATAAATTTTATAATTACCTCCTAAGTCAAATGCAATATCTTGAAATTTAAGCTTACACTCTTAAAACTTACCTGAGTAACACTTGAGATATTCTTTGAGTTATGAATGTTTCATGGTGTTTAAATTCATATTTTAAAAGATCATGTAAGTTGCTTAAAATCTATAGAATTCTTGAAATTAGTCAAATATATAATGTCATTACCCAACCCGGGATTTAGAATTAACCAATACGGAGACAGATAATAGAATGGTGGGAATTAAATTTTCGATTTTCATTCTTTATAAATATTATTTTACAAATGATAGAGTTACTATGCAAATTCAATTAAAGTAATATATCTAAAATTACCAAATTGTTGGTTGTTCGTGTCTTCTATAAACATTTTCACATCTATCTTTCACCTTTTAATTACTTAATTAACCTGAAAGTTAATTTAAAAATAATTGTGAGTTAAACAAGTCAGTGAATACTCATACTCTTAAACTACAATAGTATAAGAAAAAGAAAATCAAAATACATATCAGGTAAACTTTTAATAAATCAATATAAACATTTATCAAAATATTTATAGTCACATATTATGAAATAATTGATGCATTATAGTATTACATGTTGAGTGATATGAAATTATGATATAATCTGGATAAAGTGATTGAAGGTAAATATTTGACTATGATAGAGTCACTCTTTGATGATACTAGTAGGGGAACACTAAGGTACCCGTGCACGTATATGAGAAAGGATATCGATATCGAAGTACCTTAAGTGGAGCAATTTTTAAGCGGTGCTCTTTTGACGGTTATACAGATATGTAGTAAGATTAATTGATAAAATGTTAAATATTTATATTGATTTATTAAAAAGTTCAACTGGCATGCATTTTGCTTCTTTTTCTTGTATTATTATAGTTCGGGAGTATGAGTATACACTGGTTTGTTTAGCTCATTACTATTTTTTAAACTAACTTTTCAGGTTAACTAAGTGACTAAATCGGTTGTCTCACAAAGTGGTGTTGAAATACTCTTAGAGTTTACTGTGATCCCACATACCTTGCCTGATTAAACTGGAAACTAGCAGCCCCTAAGTGCCAATTAGAGATTGGGATGTCGTGGATCCATGTATACTCAAGAATGTTTATGCTATACCCGGTAGCAATATTCCAGCGGGTGATTCCCTGTAAGGATCTAGCTCCTTCACAAAGTACCTTCCAGGCTGTAGATAAATTTCGGTTATTTTCAAAACTCCAAACATTAGGGCCATATTTCGCAATAAGCAAGTGTGGAGAAGCGAATCCTTCTCATGGAGGAACATCCAGGTGAGGCAGGCCCTTACAGAACTTCTCCGAAGAGTGGAGGCATGAAAACCAAGCCCACCGATATTAGTAGGGGTGCAAATTTTGTTCCAGGAGACATAATGTATAAGCAGGTTGGTTGGAGCATTTTCGCCAGAGGAATTACCTGTAGCGTTTTTCAATTTGATTGAGGATGCCATTTGTAGAAGGTTTCCAGAGGTTTAGGAGGAGGTCTTCCAGCAAGAGGGAGATAGGGATTGAAGGGATTACGGTCAAGGATTTTGGTTCAGGGCTCTGATACCATGTTGAAAACAAATATGATAAATAAAAATTCACAAGTTGGTTACAGGAAACCAATCACTCCTAATTTATAAACTTTACAAATATATCTATTCTCAATTATGAAAGTAAATAATTCTAAAATAAAGGAAAAGAAATAAAATAGCAACAAATCAAGGGGTTTTCAAAAATAGTCTCACTCAAACCTTCATGATCTCCATGGAGACCGGCTGGTCCACCGTAGGTAGAGCCGTAATCCTTGACAAATTTCCACAATAACTTTGATGGAAGTGCCGTTGTATCAGTTGTGTGATATGTAAATCAATAGTTTCTTCATCAAGAAATGTTTTGTAATGAAATAAAGATATTTAGCAATGTTCTAGTGATAACCGTGTAAATTTCAAGTTCTATCAAAGTCAAATCAAATCACAATCGAACCATCTTAACAAAGATTAAAATAAAACAGCAATCCATGATTAAATTTCAAATCAAGTGATCGTGGATCGATACAATTTTGCAACAAAACAGAATTAGCTTCAAATTGAATTGTTTGCATCTCTATCTAATAAAAAAAAAAGTTTCGAAGGATTGTCTTCTTTCATTAAAAAAAAGATAAATTTCATACATGCCACATAATTCTTATGGATTTATGTATCTAACGCCTTAAGTTTGATATTTACATTTATAACACTATGGTGTTATAAATCTATGCATAAAAAGGTGCATTTGATTTTTAAAAAGTTAGTAAAAGTGGCATTTTTTATTTGTTAAAGATAAGTGTTGTGAATGTAAATAATAAAGTTTAACTGTTAGATATGTAAATACATAACAATTGTCTGGTATGTATGTAAATGACCCTTAAATAAAAATGCAAAGGTGCATAGCATACTCTGAGGGTGGACGACAACAACCTGCCTCAATTGGGGTCAACTCTGCTGATTTGTATGCCTTAAGGTTCTGAAATAGAGCGATGCATGTTAAAAAATACAGATATTGATGAACTAAAATAGATTATTTTCTAAGATTATTTCTAGAAAATAATATAAACAATAGACCTTGTACTTGATAGGCAAGTTATTACAATCATCAGTCTTCACAAGGCAGCTCTTCAAGCGGCCCCAATTTTTGGTATTGTTGAGCTTGAATCGCCATAATGATGCATAAAAGTAGATGTTGAATTCATACATTAGAATACAAAAAGAATAAAATAATTTGGATCAGGACATCTTCACCTAAATTTGATTAAAATTAGCTTTATAAACTTTGAATTTGCTTTGAGATGCATGCAATGCAATCTTTTATAGATTTCTAATGTAATTCACTCATTTCAAAACAAACCTGAGAGTTATAAAACTCATCCAAATCCAATTGGGGTCAGAATATCCTGACCCAAATTTTTTCCTTAAAAAAAAGCATGAAAAACTAAGAAGAGTTAAAAGACCTCACCTGCCTTAAAAAGCAGACGCTATAGTCTTGAAGATGATATTCTTTGAACCTGGAAAAAAGAGGAAGATTTACATAAATCCCACTTAATTCCTATGTATTTACATATCTAACACCTCAACTTCAACTTTTACATATATGCCACCTTGCTTTTACATATATGCCACCTTGTCATATATGCCACCTTGTCTATATGCATGTAAAGGGTGTATTTCACCTTCTAAAAGTTAGAACAGAGGTAAATTTTTATGTGATATAAAGGTGTGAGACATGTAAACACATAGGAATTGAGAGAAAAGTATGTAAATGCAACTAACAAAAATGTCATCAATGCGACAACTAAAGACTTGACTACATAGCGCATCCATAGAATTCCATTAACTTCAGAGGAAATGACTGCTCGAATTGTCAAAATAAAGATGTTGAAGCCCATCAGTGAAGACTAAAACCACAATATATTGGGACATATGTATATGTTTCAATAAAGTTTTGATGGCTGAAGATTATTTAAGATAACCTAAACGCTCAAAATAAGGAAGAGCAAGTAGTATATTCTTAATTAAAGCACAAATTCACTTGAAGCGATTATATTTGCAATACAATCAGTAGTTTACCTTACTCCAGACACAGCATGGCCAGACCCATTGTTAGTTATGATAAACCTACAGTAACATTAAGGAAAACCTTTTATCAATAAAACATAAATAACTTATCAGCTTCAATAAAACTTATAACACAGCAATCACAATCTCAAACAATCAAGCCCACATCAAATAATTCGTAAAGCTCAATCAGATCTGAAAAATTAAAAGTGAAACTATTAAAGAAGATCATATCAAATGAGAAAAAAAAAAAAACATCATCTAGGCAAAAAAATTGATCGAAAAAAAGGCATACCAATTCAATGAAATTATGTTATCAACCTTGGCTAACTTTTTACTATTAGAAAATGTATGAAAGATACTAAACTAGCTAAATTTAAAATTTTGCACAAGAAAACTTACGCCAGCACAGTGAAAACCAAAATTGCCACCAACATCAAGAATAGCATTGCCAAGTACTGAAATTTTGCAGTCAAGGCCACCTTAAAACTCATATGATAGAGAAACTAATATTGAAAGTTGTCACACATAAGAAGAAATTGAAAGGATACCACCCACAGCAGAACCATAATGTTTTTCAAAGCTCCAAGAAATCCAACCAAGGACCTGAAGAGTTGAGGAACCACACAAACCAGAGAAAAAGAAGATTAGAAGCTAAACTCTGAATGTGAAAATTAAATATTACACTTATAACCGGATAGAAATCTTACATCAGAAGTATTAGAGCACCGAGACCAATCACAGGTAGTGTCAGTGTTCTGTGGCACTGATCATGGTGAGTACTCATCCATATTCCAAAACAAATGACCCCATATCCCATTATCTGCTGCACAAATTTCAGGTTTTTACATGTTAAAACTTAAGAGAGAACAGTGGAAGTTTATAACAAAAATATTTAAGAGAAAACAGTGGAAGTTTATAACAAAAATATCTTCTTTCTTTTCCTACTTCTCAGCCATTTAAATTCACAGTACTCTTCCAGTTGATTTCCCAACTTCAAATTTTCGCTAAATCTAGCCTGGCGGGCATCAAGTAGATATGCAACACAATACCCCTTCCACTCTTCCAGTTGATTTCCCAACTTCAAAATTTCGCTAAATCTAGCCTGGCGGGCATCAAGTAGATAATGCGGCCAGAAGGAAATGATTGGCCATTCATGTACGCAAAGTATAAATGAAGCATGAAGGACCAAAATGAAAAGAGAAGAAAACTTTCAAATATTATGATTCCCGGAACTGTGAGGTGAAGGATGTGCAAAAAAATCAAATCAATAAGCAATTTTGATGGGAAAAGGGAATGCAGACTACGGAAGCAGTTACCATTGTGAGAAAATTGATCCATCGGATCACGAAGGTGCTCGTTCCTGCGCTCATCTGGCTCGGAACTCGGAAGCTTCGATACGTAGACGGTGATGGGAGCTAGCGAGAGAGAGGGCGACTGTAGAATCTTCGAGTTAGGAGCTGTAAAGCGAACTGAGAAGGATGGGCATACGCGTAACACACACAAGCAATTAAAACAGGACACAGAAGGTAATAAGTTACAAATTTATTTAGTTATGATATAAATGATATATTTAAAAAAATTATTTATTAAAATATAATAAATATATTAATATTAAAGTAATAAACACCACAATAGTTTTTAAAAATTTATTATAAAATTTAATAATTAATTTTAAAAAAATTAAGTATGAAATATAAAAATAGCATTTTGATAATTTAAACCATATATATTTAATTAATATAAACTAAATATTATGAAAATTTAGAAGTAAAATTTTTAAAATATATGTTGTCTGTTCTTCTTCTATCACTAAATCAATCATGTGGCACTGAGAAATTATAATCATTTATTTCACCAAACTTTATTTATTATCTGTTGAAAGATACTAAGAAATTATAATCATTTCTTTCCTAAACTTCATCTATTAGTTTCTATTTTCCAATGTCTTTTCTCTCCATTGGAAACTCCCATACCGGATCCACCTTATGTTTTCAATCAAACAGACCAGCTTTTGCCAGTCAAACCAGGTTCAACCTGGTTCGATGTCTGTTCAATCTGGTTCCTGAAAGATACTAAGAACTTTCCTAAACTCCATCTATTGGTTTCTATTTTCCAATGTCTTTTCCCTCCATTGGAAACTCCCATACCGGGTCCACCTTATGTTTTCAATCAAAGCTTTTGCCAGTCAAACCCGGTTCAACCTGGTTCGATGTCTGTTCAATCTGGTTCAATGCAGGGGCGGGTGTTAAGACGCCTCAGAAATTATAATCATTTATTTCACCAAACTTTATTTATTATCTGCTGAAAGATACTAAGAACTTTCCTAAACTCCATCTATTGGTTTCTATTTTCCAATGTCTTTTCCCTCCATTGGAAACTCCCATACCGGGTCCACCTTATGTTTTCAATCAAAGCTTTTGCCAGTCAAACCCGGTTCAACCTGGTTCGATGTCTGTTCAATCTGGTTCAATGCAGGTGCGGTTATTAAGCCAGCTCAAATCAGACCACCCATGGGTTCGCGGTTGAACCGGTCGAATCGAACAGTCTGGACCGATTTTCTAAATCATGCACAGAGTATTCCTAACCAGCTAGCTAAGCACCAAGAAATGGAAAATTCACATATGTAGGACACAATTCTTATGAATTTACATATCTCACACCTAAAATTTCATATTTATATACATATCATTTTGGTGCTTTAAATTTATACATGAAAATATATATGTCACTTAAAAAAAAGATTAAAATGTAATGTTAAATATTTGAATGTTATTTGTGTAAATATAAAAATTTAGATGTGAGATATATGAATAAATAAGAATTGTGTGCTAAGTTTGTAAATAAGATATGTTATATCACTCTTACCGCTAGTTGGTTGTTAATCCGACGTTAACACGTAAGAAACCAAAAAAAATACAAAAAAACGATTAAATTTCTACATAGTTGCATATGATAAATACAATCAATATAATATAATATTTATCTATCATCACAACTCATAAAAACATCTCCAACATACATATCATGATACCAAATCAGATTAAATATAAACGGATTGAAGTGCTCATAATTCACAACATAATAGACTAAAAGTTCGTACAATAATGAAATGACAAAAACATATAGTCAGCCCCTATACTAGGGGAACATCATCAAGCTTAGAAAAAAAACATAATCTTCATCATCATGATCCTCCTCCTCATCAAACGGATGCATGTATCACTCACTCTAGAAATCAAAACTCTTTATCAGACATGTTAGACTATGTGCAATGAGTTGTTGTCCTTTGCGCACCTATCAGAGCTCTTCATTCATCATCGTCACATGCCTAGAAAGCTTCTCATGTTGAGCTTGTAACGAGTTAGCCCACCCACAGCTGCTCGAGAATGCTCGGCTTCAAATGTCATTCTCTTTGCTCTGAGATCGTACACTCTCCTCTTTTTTTTTCCTGTCGTCTGCATCCACAACTCAAAATCAAACTGCATAGAGGTAGAATGACTACCACTGCTGACAGAAGGTAAGGCTTAGCTAGTCATCTCCATCTGTCTCTCTTGGAGCTGCTCGCACTCCTTAAAGATTATTTTTAGTTGATTCGATATGAGACAATAAGTAGGTTTGATTTTATTACTTTACCTGCATTTATCTCTTGCAATTCTAACCTCCTTTCCTTGCAATACTCTTTCAAATTCATTATTGTTTTGATATTATCTTTTGTTTTTCCATTGGTATCAAGAACAATATTAAATATATTATCAATTTTTCTTTTTCAATATGCATAACATTCAGATCATGTCTAATCATATTGGTTTTCCAGCAAAGAAGATCCAAAAAATATTCTGCTTCATCCAATTATGCGTAACTGTAATCTAGAAGACAACTTAAGACTAATTTGGGGCTCTCAATGATATTCAAAACTTCACTAATCATCTGCAGTATATCACTTCCACTAATCCTTAGGGGCAGACTTTATTTTTTAACTCTATTTTTGAAAAAAATGCATCTTTATTCCTCCATAATGGGTGATCACATGCTAAGAACCTTCAATCACAATCAAACCAGAAATTTTTTCTTCTATGTTTTAAAGTAAATGTTTTAGACATGTCCATGCAGTATGGGCATGCATAGGCTCTTCAACACTAGCAATAAACTCACTAGTTAATTCTTTTCTTCCAGGATATAATATGTTGTTCGTCCACGATCTTAATCTTTGTATATTCATCTGCACTATAAATGTAACTCTATAGATTAATGCACTTACACATTACACAACCTATTTGAAACCTTAGGCCACCTACACATCATACACGAAACCTATAGCCCACAAATCCAAAGAAAATAAACACTAGCTAAACTCCACCCTAATTTTAGATATCACAAATTTCTATGCATTTACATGTCTCACACCTAAATTTCGTATTTACGTACATAACATAAATTTCTTATGGATTTACATATCTCACTCTTAAATTTTATTTTTACATACATCACACAAACGCCCCCCCCCTCTTAAATTTTATTTTTACATACATCACACAAACTTCTTTTGTATTTCCATATATACCCCCCCCCTCCTTCCGAAAATTGTTGCATCGGTTTTATCATTGATCCATGTTTTATATAACAACTAATATTATTAGTAATGGGAGAATGATGATATGAACAATATTTTATCGAAAAAGAAGATAAAAAACAAAGTAAAACAAATTTAGCTTTTGATGAACCCAAATTTTGAATTGTGATAAGAAAATTACAGTTCACTAACATAACAACAAAACAAATGAATTGATAAAGAAAATGAAATTAAAGGAAAAAATAAAAAATGCAACAAAAACACAGAAGAAAAAGAAGTAGAAAATAGAAAAAAAGGGGCTTATATATTATTGATCTTGTGTGTGTTGGGGGTGTTGAGGTGGTTCCTGTTCTGGGTTGGCCTCCACCTCCTCCTTCTTCTTCATTGAAGCAGTTTTTATGAGATGGTTATAGCTTCCTTTCTCCATAAACAACTGAGAAAAATGGTGTTTGCAGTAAAGAATGCCGTCCAACGCTGCGTAGCTCGATGGTGTGAGAGTGCAGCCGCCATGGGAGCACTTGAAGCAGGTCTTGTGGTATGATTCTCCCTCCACATTCAACTGTAGAATATGATAGAGACAGAGAGAGAGAGAGAATATTTAGCTGGTAAGAAGTTCATCTTAATTTGTTTCTCTTACTTTCATATATCATCATCATTTATTATTTTACTGCAATTATTTGAGGATCATTTTATAACTAATTTTTATAATTAAATAATATCCAAAATATTGATATTCACAAATTAATCGCCCAATTGATTTTTTTGAACCATGGAACAGATGCAATTACATTTGACATGATAAAACCATTGAGAATTTGATAAAAATGAAAAACATGGGTTGGAGTTTTATCATGAATTTTGATATTTCAATGAGAATTTGAAAAATAGATGGAAAATGACGGTTGATTTGTAAAAATTAAATTTAATTTACGAAGTATTTAAATTACATTTTCTAAGTACTCGTATTTATAAACGTATGCAGTGTATTTTCTTTAATAAATATATATTTTTGCATTTAATTCAAAATAATATCTTTCAATTTTTGAAATTACTCTAATTAAAAGAGATCGAAATTCAAATATCTTATATCATTTTATTTATGCTTGAAAAGAAGCAAAAAGTTAATAATAGTGATTATTTTGGAGCATGTGATATGAAATATTTGAGTGTTGATTATAAATGTAAAAATCAAAATTTAATTTTGTAAATACATTACAATTGTGTAATATGTATGTAATTTAGAGAGAGAGAGAGAGAGAGAGAGGTCAAACCTTCTCTAGAGGATAAGCTGTCTTCTTGCATACAGCACATTTGTCTTGTGTTCCTGAGAACATCTGTGATACCTTGCTTGCTGCTCTGCTCTGTAATTATAAATATTAAATAATTTACTAATTAATATCAATTAATAACAATAATTAAGCATAGAAGAAAAATAGACGATCAGTTCTTTCGTTTATTAAACTCACCAATTCAAGTTTCTCTGCTGATTTGCTTGCTGGACACAGAAAACCAAATCATGTCATATTAGAAGCAGATAATTGTACTATTCAAGAGCGAGAGAGAGGTGGAGGAAAGAATATTATGTATAGAGCTCTTATGCATGTGAATTCAATGTACAATAGTATTGTACGTGTTATAAAGCATTGTACAAGAAATCTCATGCATATAAACTCTAGTAATACATTGAAATTGACCAGTGAAACCTACTTGACACGTGAAATCCCATCATTAGACTCGCAAATGAGTAACGACGTAATATTTTTTTCAAAAAAAGGGAGGGAGAGACTAACGGCTATGAAATTTCTTGGAGAAGGAGCCAGTTTCCTTGAAGAGCTGCTCAAAATGGGGCTTGCAGTACAGCACACCGTCCATGGATGAGTAGTTATACATCTGAAATTAATACAAAAGCAATCATTTTTCTGCAAAAATTAACTATATAATGATTCTTTCAGCATTCATAAATTTATATTCTGAAAACCTAATAAAAAAATTTTCCAAATAAAAAGAGAAATATGAATACTTACAGCGAGAGTGCCGCTGCAATGGGTGCATTTGAAGCAGCTTTTATGATAAGCTACACTGTCAGCCATGAGCAGGTCGATAAAATGAACCGTCTTCCCGCACGTCTTGCACTTATCCTGCGTCCCAATGAACGACGACATGGGAGGAAGTCCTGTATTTCAAAAGCGGAGCAGAAGAGGAAGATCGATCCACACGCCCTCTGATCCCTACAAAAAGCAAAATCAGAGGGAAAAAAAAGTGATCGTTAGATGATTGAAATCGGATTGAGTGCTGATAAAGTCATTAAAAATTGAATCTTTTAGAAAAAAAATGGAAAAAAGAGAGGTTTTTTGTGAGACCTTCCTTGGCTTTTGAAATGATGGGAGCAAGCGGCGATGAAGGAGAGCGATACAGGGAGAGGGTAAAGAAGAAGAAATTAACACCGTTAGCTTTTCAGTTTTGGTCTGTTGTGGAGTGAAAGATGGGGAGGAAATGTAGGAAGAAGTGAGCTGCCCAACATAAAGATTGGTCAAAACTTGAATTTTTATTTTTATTTATTTTTAATTTTATTTTACTAAAATTGACAAACATAGAATTTTGATGCACTGTAAAATCAGAATTTTGTATAATTTGTATACATATCATTAAATATTTTGGGTTTGCACAACTAATATTTGAATTTTTATATTTATTTATACAATTGATTTTCTGTAAATCTGTCATAATATATAAAAAAAAAAATCAACTATCACTAAATTATATAAAAAAAGTATAATTTTTATTATTATTTAGAAATTAGGATGTGATATATATACATTTATAGAAATTAATTTAGTTTTATATTTTTATTAGTATTTTAAAAATATAATCAGAATATTTTAAGCTAATTTATTGTTAATAATGATTCAGCCTCTTCTGTATTATCTTTTTCCAAATGTGGGAGTTCAGAGTTGGTCAAGTGCACCGTTGGATTTATATTTTGACAGTTTGTTAGTGTAGATATGTGCTACATTTTTGGGCTGTTGATACATTTGGGAGAAAAAAGAAAAAAAATTGAAGATTTGCATACATGCCACTTAATTTCTATGTATTTACATATCGTTTTTGGGCTGTCGATACATTTGGGAGAAAAGGAAAAAAATTGAGTATTTGCATACATGCCACTTAATTTTTATGAATTTACATATCCGACCTAAATTTCGATCTTTACACAAATGCAACGTTACTGTACATTTAAAAGTTGAAGTAATGATATTTTTTATGTGATAAAAATGAAAATTTTGGATGGTATAAATGTAAAAAAAAATTAATTTTAGTGTTAGTTATGCAAATAGATAGGAGTTAAGTGGTATATATGCAAACGCCCCCCAGAAATGAGTATGATACATGAATAATATATTAGTTGGGTCTCAAAATAGGTTTCATAATTTAAGCCTCTCCCTCCATCTTCCTCTAGAACTACTATTTAGAGCGAGTAGGAGCTCATAACATTGTTTTGTATTTATAACACTTATAGTACATTAATATCATAAACCTATGCATGAAGAGGTGTATTTTACTTTAGGAAAGTAGTGGCTGTGGCATTGTTTATTTGATGCTAAAGAGTTTAGGGGTATGCATGTAAATATGAATGTTTAGGTGTTACATATGTAAATAAATAAGAGTTTAGTGGTAGATACATAAATACATAAGAACTGTGTGGTACGCTTGTAAATTTCCTAAATAAAAATATTTTATTGAAAATAAAAAATACAGAAATCCCAAAATAGAATCAAAGAGTGATTAAAGTTGCAAATGTTATACAGGAAAAAAAAAAGAATGTAACCCAATGCAGAAGAGATTTTACAAAAGTAATCAACAAACAATTTTTTTTTTCTAAAGTTTAAATCCCTTTCAACCACTGGTATTCATGACTATGGCAGCACAACCTCCTGACACAATATAAGATCAGAAACAGTTTTCCCATGTCGATCGATCCTTCTAGAACAATTGACGCCGCCATCTAGAATGTTCCGGACCACAACATTCAAAGAATGTATTCCTCTGACCTCATATATCTCCACAATCACCTGCTCCAGCTGCTCACTTTTCTGATCTGTAACCATGGGATTAGAGAAAGGAGAGAAATCCAGCAGAGATGAGACAACTCCTTTTACCCATTCAGGAGTGATTATTAATCTTAGCTTCACAATGTCTCCATGGAAATGTGGGATAATGGAGAAGTTCAAGTCATTTCCTTTGTCTCCTGCTCTACTGTGAGCAATTTGATAGAGAGGGATCTTCTTTCCTGATGGAGCTGGTTCAGGGGATGTAGGGTGGTTTTTGACATAATTTTTCTTTGGAATGGTGAGTTGGTTGCTCTTTTCTCTTGGATGGTTGGGTATGGATGAAATATTGGATCTCCTTGCTTCTGTTCGCCAGAAGACTTTTTCGCGGTCAACCTGAATAAAGATGGGGGTTATTTAGGGGCTGTTTAGATGCAAGTTGGATATAACTCGAGTATCGAGTATGAGTTAGTAAGTCCTGAAAATAGTTTGGAATTACATCTGTTAAATGTTATTAAATCCTGATAAATTATTGGGTTATTTGTTTTACGATTTAAGATTTGTGAAAAAATTTCTTGAATTAGTTGAATCCTATGGAATGGCGGGACTTGGGCACATTTGAGGCAGCTTTTCGGCACGGTGTGTTTTGAAAATGCCGGATTACCTGTTTGGAAACCACGGAACGTTGACGTTGTGGGATAAGTTAGGTTAAACGTGAGCTGCGGTTCAACCCCGCGACTTGCATTTCTTCGCTATTTTATTACGTCGCTACCCCGAGTAACACCTCCCCGTGACCTGCTCTCTGCACTCTACCATTTCTTTTGCCCTAAGGTAACGCATCTCTCGCCTGTCTCTCTTGCGCCTCTCTCACTCCCCTATCCAGTGGCAACATGTTGCATTTCTCCTCTCCATCTTCCCTCCGATCTATGACTCTATTTGGTTATTGTGCTCTCCGTCCTCCCACAGTATGATCCATCATATATCTCTTTGTTTTGGAGTTAATTTTCGATTTGTGGCTTACTGTTTGTGATTTGTGACTTTCTGATTTACGGTTTGAAGTTTTGAGGTTGGGAATTTGCAATTTAATTATGACTTTCTGATTTACGGTTTGAAGTTTTGAAGTTTTGAGGTTGGGAATTTGCAATTTAATTTTGAAATAATTACATAAAGGGCACCCAAAACATTACTATTTACAAATCAAGCACCCAGGTGATTTTTTGAACTATGAAACCGATGCATTTTCGCTTAAAATGATCAAACCATTATGAATTTGATTAAAATGAAAAATATGGGTTTGGGTTTTATCATGTCCTATGATATTTGAGTGAGAATTTGAAAAATGAATCAAAGAAGATGCTTGATTTGTAAATAGCAATGCTTTGGGTGTCCTATATGTAATCGCCCCCTTTTTTCTTGTGCTCTGTGCTATGTGCGCTATTCGGTTGATGGTGCTATCCGGTTGGTGGTAGTTGTGATTCTGTGGTGGTTGTTCGAAATAGTGCTTGTGATTTTTTATGGCGGTGATGTTGCAATGTGCATTGTGGGTTTGCCCAAATTTTTTTATGGCGATGAATTGTGGTGGTTGCCCGAAATTGTGGTAATGGTTTCGTCGTGGTTGCCCGAGATTATGGTCGCCCAGTCTTGCTCAATCAGCTATGCTAGTGATGGCGTGGTTGCGATGGGTTGATGGTGGTGGTGGTGATGGCGGTGGTGGTGTGCTGTTGGTGTGGTGAGGAGATGTGGTATTGTGGTGTTGGTGGTGGTGGTAGTCATGTTGTGGTGGTTGTATGGTGTAGTAGTTGTGTTGGTGTGGTGCGGAAGTGGTGGTAATGGCGTTTTGTGGAGGTGATGGTGTGGTGTTATTGGGTTTTAAAATGGTGGTGGTTGCGATGTTGTGTTGGTTGTGTGGTGTGCTAGTGATTGTGCAGTGTCATAGTGTCGATGTGGTAGTGTTGGTGTGTTACTGTTGGTAGTGGTGGTAATGGTGGTAATATGGTGTGGAGGTGATGGTGCGGTGATAAAGGGATTTTGGTGGTGTTGTTGTTGGTAATGTGGTTGTGGTGACAGTGGTGATGTTGTGGTGGTTGTGTGGTAGTGGTGTTGATGTGGTAGTGGTGTTGGTATTGCGGTAATGGTGTGGTGTTGATGTGGTGGTGGTGATGATATATTGATAGTGCTAGTGATGTGGTTGTGTGGCGTGGTAGTGATTTTGTGGCGATGTTTCCTTTCATTTACATTTTCAAGTTGTGGTATCTTAAATGAAAGTTTTTGTTTTTTTCGACAAATATTTTTGTTGATTATTTCTTTTCAATATCACTCATAGTGTCGCTGAGGTAGTGTTGGTGTGTTACTGTTGGTAGTGGTGGTAATGGTGGTAATATGGTGTGGAGGTGATGGTGTGGTGATAAAGGGATTTTGGTGGTGTTGTTGTTGGTAATGTGGTTGTGGTGACAGTGGTGATGTTGTGGTGGTTGTGTGGTAGTGGTGTTGATGTGGTAGTGGTGTTGGTATTGCGGTAATGGTGTGGTGTTGATGTGGTGGTGGTGATGATATATTGATAGTGCTAGTGATGTGGTTGTGTGGCGTGGTAGTGATTTTGTGGCGATGTTTCCTTTCATTTACATTTTCAAGTTGTGGTATCTTAAATGAAAGTTTTTGTTTTTTTCGACAAATATTTTTGTTGATTATTTCTTTTCAATATCACTATTATTACGATAAAAGAAATTAGTTCATCCGCTATGTATAATAAAGGTGCAAACTAATATTTTGCGACCTCTGCTTTAAGAAGATGGAATTGGGAAATATGCCAAGAACCTATTTTAACAAAAAGGGTTGATAAAATATTATAAAAAAGTTTAAGGAAAACAGAGAAAGTGAATACGATAGAATGCAATTAAAAAATAATTGGGATCAATCAAAAAAGGATTGAAAATTTTAGAGAGAATTAAAGAGAGGATTCACGGGCTTGGTTTGAGATCCGATAAAGTAAACAATTGATACTTCGGAAGAATGGCAGGCCGAAAAATTGAAGGTGAGAATTTAAGAAACGTCTAGTCCTTTAATCAATTGTATTTATTCTTCAGATACATTAAGATCTTAATCTTCTATTACTTTGTAGGTATTTGTCACGCACATTGACTTCAATAGAGCTGATGAAGATCATTCACAAGTCTCTATTGAAGCATATGAATATTGCCTAAGACAATTTTTATCACAGGCTGAAAGTGATTTGCCTGAAACTTGTAGTCAGGATGGGAAGAAGCAGAAGAGATGATAGAGTTGAGAGAGTGAATTACGAACGTCATCTTTGGCGGTTGCATAAAGCGATTGTTTGTTTCCGTGTTACTTTATTTACAATTTGTTGTGAAAACGTTTATTATTTATTGTATTGATAGTTTATGCAATAATGCCCATTTTGAATTTCAATGTAGGGTGTCTTCTGTTTCCCGTTCTTTTGCATAAATTTCTTCCCACTTGGATGGTCTGTGAGGCAACCGAGGGAATAAAATGTAATGTAAATTTTTATTACATTTTTTATTTTTTGATTTGGAGGTCTATGATGATATATTCAACTATATGAGTTCTTCTAGATGACCTATAAGTTGTTATTTGTTCTTGCACACATGCAATCGCCATGAAGGTAACCAAGTACCTCTCTTTTCTTAGTCGTATGACTTGGATGGCCTTTGAGATAATATGCATATATAACACATACGAACTCCGTATTACGTGGTTTAAAAACAAGTAAGAACCCCTTTTTTATAAGATCTACTATCTTCTTGTGGTGGTAGATTCGTTGACTTATAGTATGTTCTCTGAGACCTCACAATTTCATAAAACTTGAATTGAGTATTTATACTATTCTTTATTACTAATTTTGATATAAGAGTTTGCACTTTGTGATTTTAAACTTTCAGAAAAGATGAACTCAAAGACTTCCAATACTTCTAGAGCATTGTACTGCTACTGTGAACTGCAATGCTCCCTACGTACTTCGCGACTGTTTTATAGGTGAGCTATGAGAGAGAGTTTTATAAGTGTCCAAGGAGAAGAACAAAAAATTGTGACTTCTTTAGGTGGACGGATCAGTTCGAGGATTCCACCGCCGATAGTGATTAGGCATAGAGACTTTTGTTGGAGTACGAATTATCTTGTGACATTAACCAATTGCATTTTAAAAATAATATTATCATATTATTAATCGTTATTTTAGTAACATTATTTTTAATTTTGATTTTCGTGCTATTCACTGTTTTGTGAGCTGTTCATTTTTTATTTTATAACATTCAAACTGGATATTTGCTTTCAAATATAAAACGTGCTAGCATGATTGGTTCGGTTATAAAAAGCACTATTGTACAGGAGCAGAAAAGTTATTTGTTCAGAAATAGTTGCAGCACATCAGTTATAAAACTGCAAAAAACAAACAGATGTTCAGCTCTTCTACAACTTTTGCGCAGCCGCTTTTTAATAAGTTGTGGCTGCCCCAAATAGACCCTTAAAAATACTGAATGAAGTGAAAACATGATCTCCGACGCACCTTAGTGATGCATTTACATACTTCTTAGTGCATATTGATGATGTATTTGAACACTTTTTGGCAATGATTAGCATAATTTTTGAGATATTTTAATTGAATTTAAAACTTGTTTCATTGTGCACGCATGACTTGAAAGTTTACATATTTTATTGTGAATTTGTTTGTTGTTTGTACAATTATTTTGTCATTGGGATGCATGCAATAATTCATTTTGAATTTCTTGAGGACTATCTTTGTGAGCTTGCATGCATGTATGATGTATCTTTGTGAGCTTGCATGCATGTATGATGTATTTGGTGGCGAACTTTGAGTTAAAATCTTTTATGCACTTTAAGGTGTTAATTGTTATCCATGTGATTGAAATTTACTTAAGCGGACCATGCAAGAAGTTAGTTTTAATATTATAAATAGAGGCCAACCCTTTGTTCATTCCCGCTATACTAGTTTTTATCTTCTTCAAAGTTTTGAAAGTTTGGGTGTGGTGAGAAAGTTTTGCCCGGCTCATGTTTGAGTTGTCAAATTCATTGCAAGTCCCTTCCAAACCCTATTTTAGTTTCTTTCGTCCACTATTACGCCCCCCTGTTTAGAAATTTTGTTCTCATTCATCATTAACATTCTTCATTTCACCTTATTTTCATTTTTTATTATGAATTTTAGCATTTAATTCCTTTTTGTCTTGTGTTTGTCCCATGAATGTCATTTTAATCTTATCCCGCTAGTGTCTTATTAATCTGAATTTTGGCAGCCCTCTACCATTACCCCTTACATAGGAGGCAATGACAGAATCCTGGGCTTGCCCAAAATGACAGGAAAAGTGTGCATGAGAGCTGTAAACACCACGAATAAGTCCTATAAT